AAAGAAAATGACACTAACTTTTGCTGAGCTTTCAAATCCTACTAGCACAAAGACAAATTAAATCAGATCTTAGCATAAAGTCGAATTAAATTGGGTCTTAGTTAATGCCAAAACAAACCCAAATTCTTAATATGAAACTAAAACAACCAAATTGGCCAAAATCAATATGCTTGAACCTAGATTACCATAAAAAATGATTAAATCACTTTGGATAATTTTAAGTGTCTACATTATAGTGTGTTGCATCTTTATCTTTATAAACTTGAATAAAGATTATAAAAAGAAAGTACCAAAAAATTCTACAGTAAAAAACTACTTGTCCTTAACAGAAAGCAACTGCTATAGTCATTCATTGAGAAGTCTTCAAGTTGACTATAGATTCCTTAATGTTTTCGAGTAAGGATATCAATGGATAGATATAAGTGGAAAAAATATTCTCCATTCTATTTTTAGCTTTTTATATTATATTTATTTTGTATTTATATTTAATAGATATTTTGAATTTATTCACATTTCTATTTTTATGGGTATTTAATGGATATGCATAATACTTATGCCTTAACTTTAAAAAATAAAAATAAAAAATAAATTTTATTTTTTATTTTGAATATTTATGTAATTTTTTATAAATATAAAATATATTAATTCTAATTAATTTAAAATAAAATTTTTAGTATTAAATAAAAAAATAATTTATTAAATATATATAAATATATAGGGTATGTGTATGGGACAAGTGTTATATTATTCATCTACATATCCATATCAATAAAAAATTTAAAATCATGCTCATATTTATCTCAAAATTTAATATATAACTCTTTCCTCATAAGCGTAAAAAATATGATTTTTCATCAGATTTGGATAAAATTGACATCTTTTTTATTGTGCAAAGAAATTTGTTTTTTTTTTTTTTTTAGTTTTTTGGTAAAAAAAAAATCTAAAGTTCTTTACTACAAATAAGGAAAATCATACCTCCAAAAAAAAAAAAAAAACTAAAGTTCTTTACTATATTCCCAGTCTTTGATTTTGTTGTTCATGTCCTTTCAAGTCATGGAAAGAGGGAATCGAGATGGATACGTGAGCATAGAAATTTTGTATGCAATTTTTGTTGAACTCTAAAGCCCCGTTGGTATGGGCAAATCCAATGTGGTTTTAGACTTCGGTCGGAGGATTGCAATAAAAATTAGTTTTTATGTTCAAAAATTACTTTTGACACAATCTCTAAATAACAATATATATATATATATATATAGTTTTTCAGTTTAAAAATCAAATTTACAAACTCAAATATAAAAACTCTTAAAAAAAATGCTTTTACAGTGAAAAAGTACATTTAGGATTGAAATTACTATATTATCTCTATATTTTTAATATTTTTATTATTTTATACATTTTATAAACATTTTAATTACTCATAAAATTTTTTTACAACATCAAACACTTATATTTCTAACCAAACTTTTTAAATATACTTTTACGAATCTAAATATTTTTTAACTACAACGACAACTGCTAAAGTAACCCTCCATCATGGTGAGAATCTCTTTTTATTGCATTGCATGGTACATTCAAACATGCACTTAGTCAACGAATCATTCAATTTTGATCTCATTAAAAATATGACACTAATAATTAATGATAGATTAATTAATTTATAAGATTGTACATCTCCCATTTTGAATTCAATTTTAGTTACTAATAGCTTTATTAAAAGAGATCATTTTAGAACATTTGTATCCTAATCAAGGATTGGAGCAATCTATCAATAGCAAATTTTATTAAAAAAACACACACACGCACGCACGATTTGACAGCAATAAAGTGTGGATAATATGAAATTAATGTGCATCTTCTTTTCTCCTTACAAGGTGCTTCTTTTGTAATTACACTCTGATATTATTCTTGATGATAGCCATGCAAGAGGCAGCTGAAAAGGATACGTAAATAATAAAAAAAGAAAGTCGTTTATGATTTTTGAGAGATAATATTATAAGTTTTTTAAAATTTTAATTTAAAAATTTATGTGCTAAAGATGAGAACCATGAGATTGATGAGTAAATCGATGAAAAGGACTATTGATTTTATAATTTATATAACTCAATCTTAATAGGTTCTCAATTTCTTTAATTTCTTGACTTCAACTAATAATTCAATCTCATCAATCTCACCAAAAGAAAAGATGATACGCAATGGAAAATATGACATTAATGTTGATAAATAAATTAATTAGCATTACCCTTCCTCATCTTTGGTGATTATTATATATAAAAACTTGTCATATTCTTTCGTTACTCAAATCGTTTAAGTATGAATCCTTTATAAAAAAAAAAAAAAAATTATATCATCCATTTCGAGCAAAGTTTATAAATTCATTGACAAAGTAAGAAAATTATTATATACTCTTTTAGATATATTAAAAAAATATATAAATAAAAAAGACATTCAATAATATTTTAACACCATTTGCAAAGTTTAATATTTCATAATGAATTTACATTTTATGACTAACATAAGAACATAGTCTTTGATTTTTCTTTATAAAATTATTATAGGAATATAATCATCAAAATAATCTTATTACCTGTGGTTTGAAATCAACTTGTTTTGTTAACAATCGTTAATACTTTGTATTTAAAAATTATTATATTTGATATTATTAAAAACTAAATATTATTTTATTTAAAATTACAAAAATAATCATGTATATTATAATGTTACATAATTTAATGATTTTAATATTATTTAAAGATAATTATTTAGAAAATATTAGTAATATTTTATTTATTTTATAATAAATATAATTAAATTATTAAATTAATTAATATTTATTAATAGATATACTAATTTTATAATATAAATTATGTAAAAAATTAAATTAAAAGATAAAATTAATCTATTAAATTCATAATAAAAGAAAAGAAAAAGTGTTATATTATATATAAAATATTATAAAAACATAAAATTATTTTTGAACTTATTATAATAAATATTAATTTTAAAATATAAAAATTTAAAAAATAAAATAATTACAATTTGAAGATGAAGTAAGTTTTAATGCACATATTAAATATGTAATTTTGGTAATTATTAATTTTGCGTATTGTATTTACATTGATAATAAAAACTTTTCATTTTTTGGATAAGAATTAAATCATCTTTCATGATAATAATTTATCTATTCATTTTTGATGATTCAAAATTATTATCATATAAAAATATCAAATATTTATTAAATATACTGATTTAATCATCATATATTAATTATTGTGATTTTTGAAATAATCACCTTACATAAACACTATCGAAAGATAAAAGATAATTTTTGTAAGGAAAAATGGACAACACTATTTTGTCATCAAGGAGAATTTCAAAAAAATAAATTTTTATATAATTATTTTAAAATTAATAAAAATTTATATTTAATGATTAATAAAAAAATTATCTAATTCATTGATATTATATTAAATTTGAAATATTATATTATATTAATTCATAATTAATGATATAATATAATAAAGCAAAATCTAAATGGTTGAGGGAAGAGATCATGATGATTGACAAACCACTATCACCAAAATCGTCTTTAGCCATTGAGAGTGGCGTGGCAGTTGGAATTGAAAATGACTGGAATTTATTAACTTTTGGGCTTTAAAACAATTTTAATTTGGATATGCTGATATTTGCCGACAACGCTGACGGTGCTCTCCCTAACCGTCCACACACATTTTCAACGCAAAATGTATGGCCGAAACTGAAGCCTACCCACTTCCGTCGAAGTAGAAAGAAACAATCCAAAATTATAATCCTTTTAAAATATCCAGATATATTGGTTATTATGTTTTTCTTTATAAATAAATAAATTAATTCACGGACAATAAAATTTAAAAAAATATCTTTGGTAGTCTTTTAACTTATTTGTGAAGTTAAAAAAATTGCTAATATATAAAAAGGAAGTCAAAATAATATAGTTTAGATACTTGGTCTATCTATGTTGCACTTAGGCTCCTGAAAAAGGATGCTTGAAACTTGAAAGTGTATTGTGATGGAGCTGTGGATGTGAAAAGAATTGCTGCTAGAATTGGAGCAGGGATGAAGCTCTCTGCTTCCCCTTGATAAATTTTTTTTTTCATCTGTGGTATCAGTTTTAAATCTTTGGTGTACTGATCTCATGTACTACTGTGTATTTTGCAGTAATGAAATCTCTTACCCTTCTTGGCTAGAAAAGAAAAAGTTGTCCGAATTAAATACAGGTGTCAAGTTTTCATTGGATGAAAAACTTTGGCTTCAAACCATTTAACTAAACTGGGTTGAAAATTGGGAATCTTTGATGAACCAACCAAATTCCAGTCGGAGGAGCAAAAGCCAAACCCAACCGCTAAACCTAGAATACTTTCAGACTAGGATTAGAAATTAACTGAACATAAAACAACAAACGAATATTTATGGTTTATTCTTTTATTTTTAGAGATTTAAGGTTTAATTCATATTGGATAAAAAATTATTTTATTTATTTGAATTTAATTTATTTAAATAAATAATATTTATATTCGATTCGATTAAATTAAATAAATTTTATTCTTGAATTTTAAATAAATAATATTTATAATATATAAATATATTTATAAATAATAAATAAATTTAAATAAATAAATTTTAAAATAAAAATAAAAATATATTATTATTATTATTATTGTTGTAAATAAAAATCAATTAAAAATTTTAATTAAAATTTAAACAAATTTAATTGTGAATATTGTTCAAAATAATTTATTAAATGTAATAAATACGTACAAACCAACGTACGTTTTCACGAAGATTCCTCAAAAGCTTTTACGCCCCTGATTCAGAGCAAATATGTAGTTTACACGTGTCCATTTTATTGGTCTGTCTCGTTTTCACGGATTTGAACGCGTTACGGACTGTGTTAGATTACACGGTAAGTGCCAACAAAATGGGAGAACACGCGGGAGAGAGCTTATTTCATCAGCAAAGGAAAAAGTAAACGACCTTTTGGGTTTTTGTCTTTTTTTCTTCTATAAATAAAGCGTACAAATCAATCACATTTCATTTCTTTGTGGCCTTTTTCTTCTTCTTTTGTAACTCTTCAGCTTTGTTTTCTTCAAAGATTCTTGGACTTTAGACTTAAAAATAAGGAAAAAAAAAGGTTTGGGTGTGTCAGCTGGCAACTTTCTTGGATATAATCTCTCTCCGGTGAGTTCTGTTATGTTTCTTTCTGGGTAAATTCTGTGTTTCTTGCTGGTTTTCTCGAATTTTTTTAATGTTTTTCTGAAATGAGTTCTTTGTTTATTGAGTTCCTATTACATACATGGTGGTCATTGACCTGTTTAACTTAGGAAGATATTTAAAGTTTTGGAATTGATTAAAGTGTAATCTTTTTTATAGGCTTTGATCCTTTTAGTTTTTTATTTTCTTTTTTCCTGGTGAGTTTTGTTTCTTTCTGGTGAATTCTGTATTCTTTGATGGTTGAATTGTTTGTTGGATCAAAATCTTGAAGCTTTTCCTCAAATGGGTTCTTTGATTTTTGTGTTTTTGGTTGGTTGGGAATAACTCCTATGAATTACTTAAAGATTTGGAATTGATAAAAGTATAACGTATTTGAGAGGCTTGGATCCTTATAGCTTTTATTTACCTTTTCGGCTGACTGCTGTTCTGTTCTTTCTGGGTAAATTCTGTTTTCTTTCCTGGTTGCATTGTATTTTTTTTTTCAAATACTATAATTGTTTGTTTTACGAAGTTCTCTCTTGAAGGTGTAATCTTTTCTGGGGTCTTTGATTACAGTTCAAGTATAGTCAATCTTGAGTTCTATCTACTGATACACAAATGGCTATAAAGAAAAACGGGTTCATTCCAAGTTCTGCACCAGAAGAACTGAAGAAAGTTTTGAAAGCAGTGGCATCCGAATGGGGAGATATGATACAAGATATGGAAGAATTTCATGTGATTCCATTGAAAGGAGCTATGACCAACGAGGTTTTTCAGATAAACTGGCCGACAAAACATGGTGATCTTCACCAGAAAGTGTTGGTCCGGATTTATGGTGAAGGTGTGGAAGTGTTTTTCAATAGAGATGATGAGATTAGGACCTTCGAATGCATGTCCAGGCATGGTCAGGGACCTAGGCTTCTTGGGCGGTTTGCTGATGGAAGGATTGAGGAGTTCATTCATGCAACGGTATGTGACGTTTTCTGTGAAAACTTATCTTTATATCTCTATGATGGCTATTGCAATACCACAAGTTGTAGAACACTTTTTTATGGTATATAAAAGTTAGAATAACCACATTCTAACTACAGTTCACAGATAATTTTCTATTACAATTTGATGCTTTCTTTGTTTAATGATGTTCAAAAGTTGAGCATTGTTCTAGAACCACTAGAAAAAGACTAAATCAGGAAGCTGCCTCATTGAGAAATTATCCTCACTTCTTTATTCATGACTACGAACATAATTAAACAAGTATAGGAATTAACTGGCATAACCCAAAATTTCTTTCTGCCCTCCAGTGGTAACTTAATGGCAGGTCATCTGCTTTGTCGTTCATCTGTAAATGAGCTTTGTGAAATAAACTATCAATTTGTTTAGGTTTTCATTCACAAATATTTGGTGAGCCATGATAATCGATTTAACCAGACAACCACCAACAGGTTCAAGTAATGAATCTTGGGTGTTTTTGCTTCCGGCTTCAAGCCAGGGCTTTTGTAAAATAAGGCGAAGAGCCTAATGCTATTATCTCTTTTTTTTTTCATATGCTTGCCCCTTTCACTTGATTTATTATTATTATTATTATTTTTGGATTTGCCAGACACTCTCTGCTTCTGACCTCCATGACCCTGAAATATCTGCCATTGTAGCGGCTAAATTGAGAGAGTTCCACAATCTTGACATGCCTGGTCCAAAGGATGTACTTCTCTGGGAGCGATTGAGGTACAAATAAGTATATGTGATGTTAGTGCTTTTTAATTTTATGTGATGTCAGTGCTTTTTAATTTTGAGTTGAAAGTATCTGATCCCTCTTTGCTTTTTTTTACCAGGGCCTGGCATAGTAAGGCAAAGAAATTCTGTTCCCCAGAAGCTGCAAAAGAATTTAGCTTGGATATTCTGGGAGAGGAAATCAGCATCCTACAGAAAGAGTTAACAAAGGGCTATCAAGAAATTGGGTTTTGTCACAACGATTTGCAATATGGTAACATAATGATGGATGAAGAGACAAGAGCAGTTACTCTAATTGTAAGTTTTCTGTTCACTTATTATTACATGCAGATATGGTTTCTATACAGAGTTTTACAGCTTTCAGTTCCAGTGTTTGCTATAGATTTTCTTTGGTGTCAACTTTTTTGCTGTTTCTTTCTTTGGCTTCTGAAAGGGGAGACTGCTATATGTGCATTTGGATTGAAGTTAAACATGCATTTGCAACTACTCGTCTGATCAACATAACAGAAAGTTGGTTTATTCAACTAAAATTTTGCACTTTTAAGTTAGTAGTCAACATTTCAAAATATGGATCTTAGCTATTTTATTCTTCATGTGGAAAACAGTATTAAGAGTGGACAATTACTTAGTAATGTATGTGCATTCTCATGGCAATTTTTCTGCTTGGTTTAATGGCAATACTGTTTCATATGTGGACTGCTCAGAGAGTATATTAATGACCAGCCAAGTTGGAATTTGTTTATCTGCTTCATTATGTTCATGTTATATCACTTAGTGAAGTCTTATTCTTACTCAAATAACAAGTTAATATACATCATAAAACCTTTTTTATTTCTAGATTTTTGTAAACTGAAATTGCAGATGAGGTCTGTATGGTGACAGCATTTATAAGAAATTCAGCTGAAGCTTCAACTGCACTGAGTATGTGAAACAAAAAGAAAAGAAAAAGATGAGAAGCCAAGAGACTGGGTCAGCCTCTTTCCTGAGGTTCCTATTTATGTCTTAATAAGCCTATTTATTAGATAAGGATTTCAAATATTTTTAGGCTTCGAGTGTGTGGTGATATTTAATGGCCCGTGTTTTGTTTGTGTGACACTACTTCTCATCTACAAACCCTAAGTATGTTATCGATGTTGTGAGATTGTGAATGCATGAGGGAAAATTATTTGTTGATGGCCTTTCCATGTTTTCCTGAAATTTGTATGCTTTTTTCGATCTTTTCTTTTTCTGATTCTTTCTTTTTTGCATTGCTTTAGACAAGTTCTTTGGTGCAAATGTTTCACACCATTTTAGCATACATTTGTGTCTTCTATATTCTAAGCTAAAATGACATTTCCAGGGTAGATAAATGAAATTTTGTGCTGATTATGCATATTCTAAGGAATTATTTATTTCCCTTTTACAGGACTATGAGTATGCAAGTTACAATCCTGTTGCTTATGATCTTGCAAATCACTTCTGTGAGATGGCGGCAAATTATCATTCTGAGACACCCCATCTTTTGGACTACAGCATATACCCTGGTGTGTAACTGTTGTAATTTAGAAGCATCCCACGTTCACTGTCTTCAAAGCTATTGTGCATTTTTTGGTCTAATTATACTTATTCCTTTTGCATTTGAACAACAGATATGGAGGAGCGCCGAAGATTCATTTGTGCATATCTGGCATCTTCAGGTTAGTTATTATTCTTCGTGCACTGTATAGAAGAGTATTTGGCTAGAAGTAGCATAAAAAGAGTCTGACTGCTATAGTGAAGTATGCTATTTGTTTAAATGAAAGTCTGATTACTAGAGTGAAGTTTGACTTTCTAGTTTTAAAGGCAACTAAATCATAAAGTGAAAGTCCCATCCCAAGGCTTTCCTGGCCTAGGTGTAATTTCTGTCTTTTGTCTGGAATTATGTTGGGTTTTCAATGGCATGCATCTACCAATCAAACTTCAGGCTTTCAATAAGTAAATTCAGTTTTCTTTAAGGCTTTTCAGCTGTCGTCTTGGGGTTATTGGGAATACGGTGCCCTTTATTTAACGAATTTGGATAAAAGAAGAGTGGTGGGGTTGAATTAACATCAGGTTTAGGTTTTTTTTTTTTGTTCAAAATTAACATTCTGACTGCTGGAGGCTTGAATATATCTAAGCCTTTTAACCATATGGCGGTGCTAATGAGTCATGTCTTGAAAAATTAATATGTTGTAATGGGGTTTAACATACCTATTTTGATGTATTTCATGTAGGAAATGAAACCAGTGATGCTGAAGTGGAGCAACTACTTGTTGATGCGGAGAAATACACTCTTGCTAATCATCTGTTTTGGGGCTTATGGGGAATAATCTCGGTAGGTGTTTTTGCACCATCTTTGATTGCTTTGCATTAGCTTTTTCCAGGTAGAGTTTTCGTGGACTAATTATCTGGCCGGTGTTGACAGGGTTACGTAAACAAGATAGACTTTGACTACCTGGAGTACGCAAGGCAGAGGTTTCAGCAGTACTGGTTAAGAAAGCCCTTGCTCTTGGGTTCCTGACTCAAGGCATTGCCCTTGTTGAAAGTAACAATGTAGCCTTAAGAGAAGCTATAGATTTGCTCAAGTTTATGTAGAATAAATCTAGTATGTTGATGGTACCTATAAAATACAGTGAAAAGCATTTGTAAATAACAGAAAGCAAAGCGTTGAGGATGGCTAGGGGTTTGCATCCATGTGTGAAATAGTAAGGCTTTTAGAGAAAGCGAAAAGGACGGGAGGTTTTATGGATTAAAATTGTCAAGTATATACAGTCTATTACATGAGAATTTAATCTTTTTAAGAATAAGTAATTGTATGATTCAAGTATAAGAGTTAAAGCTTCTCAAAAAGTTCAGATGAATGTTGTTTGAACTGTAAGTAGAATTTGAATCCTCTGAGTATTGGCAGGGAATATTTAAAACATTTCAATTAATTTTTATCGTTCTTCAGCAAAAGTTCTTATTTTAAATATATTTCTATAGTACGCAAACAAAAGAAAAATGTAATTTATCAGTTTCGCACTTATTTTTGCATGCCAAGTGCCTGGGGCAAATTTTTGTTGTAGAACACCTTCTGTTGCTAAGAACTAAAAAGAAGTATAAACAGTTTGGTGAAGGACTGAGGAATTCTTTGGAAAAATTTTTGGCAACTTGTGATGATTCTTTAAGCAAAATGCTGCCGAAGTGTCCTATTTCTTGAGTGTAGAAATAAGTCTTTCAGGATGAATTGAAGAATAGATGCTTTCTCAGCAAGAAAGGATAACACGACCAAAGATTCTTCTTTCTCTCTATGGCTTAGTTCCTTTCAAAGTGCACATTCTAAACCAAACTGACAAATGCGGAAGCATTATAACATAAAACTGCTTGTCCATCCAAAATATAGCCTAAGATAAATCCCAAAGTATATAATAGCATGAGACAGCAGCTAGAGGTGCAAGTGAATCCCTGGAAGAATTTCGAGTAGCTGTTTTTTTTTTGGGGGGGGGGGGGGTGTTGGGGGGCTAAATTTTAGAATCATAAGAGACTAACATAGAACCAAGAGTGTCAGCGATGGAGTCTATTGCTGCAAGAGACTGGCTAGTAGTTGCCTACTTCAAGTGTTTAGGTGCTTCTGCTCTATCAAAGTAGAAACTAGCAGATACCAGCTTCTCTTTAGGCTGTAAAAACAACTGTATAACTCTGTCTACAACTTCTTCACTGGTTCTGAGCTTTCCCGAAAGACTGCAATGCAATTATAAAATTGTTTACCAAACCAAAAAAAAAAGCAAAAGTGTTTATGAAATGGAGCCTTAGGAAATTTATTTTCTGAATGTGTTTCTTTATCTGGTCAGCAACCAAAAATCAACCGAATCAGTGTCATCCAGAAGAGTCAGCTAGATATATCCACGTGTTTCAAAATGTTGTCATACTCAGCAGCTTTGCCAAGTACTTCATCAATTCTTACTTATTGCATTGAAGTTCAGTAAATGAAAATCATACATCATATTGACATTTACACCAAAATAGACAATAAAAGCCTTCAATGAACATCGAGGAAAAGCCTAAGACAAACTGCATGTGTATATTTCTGCTACATGTTGATGTAAAACCAAGATAAATTAGAATGCTGATCTAGCAAGCAATCTACAATATTTTGTTTTCTTAATCTAAATTAGATAAGTTAGATGCAGGCCATTTAATTTAGTTGAATTACTGGCAATACATTACCACACTAATGTAATATGTAAAATATTAATCAGCAAAAAAGAATAAGAACTTTCTTAATAAATTCCGGCAGTGAAAAAGCTATCAACTTAACTGACCTGAACTCGCTTCTTCTTAGAGTATTGCTCTACCCCCATCAACTTTTCCATCACTAAACTGCAGTTCACAATCAAAGGGGAGTTTCATAAGCATCCACTAATTGAACTAAAGCAGTATCAAGAGGTTTAGGAATGGGTAGAGAAGAGGAAGAAAAAATCACTGGTCAAGGGAGCAGTGATCAGGTGCAGCTTTCTCTAGCAAAGGCAACAATAATTCCGTTGTGGCATAAGTCCCCAATACATTTACAGCAAAGTTCAACTCAAATCTGGAGGCACAGAGAATAAGAAATACAGGACATCATGCATTTTTTTATCTTCTTTTTTCTTTTTCCTCACTTTATGTAAAGGAACAGACCACGTGATGCATCAACTATGTTTTCGAGTTATAATGTGACAAACACACCCTTCAGATGTGGTGACCTGTTTGTGCTCCATCAATCCAGAAATGTTGACCTAAAGGCAACAAAGCCTATTAAAGTTAAACAGCTCATCAGCTTTACACGATACAGCAATAGCTATGCAGAATTGCAGGATATACTTAAAAAGGATGGTATCTCATTATAAATTGGACAGAACATGATGCCCGTCCACATAAAGCTTTCAACTATACGAAGACAAAAACAAGTATGCACATCTCAAGGGACGGTAGACAAATATGTAAATATTGAAGGAAGGTAGTAGTTTTTAGAACATGAACTGGAACATCCTTAGAAGAGAATCTGGACGCAAAGGACTTGATCTTGCTGATGGATGAAAGATGGCAAATCTGCAATCTAAATTTAATAAGCAATTTAAAATAAAAAAACAATGTAGAAATTTGGTAGATCAATTATCAACCATAAAACTGTAAACACTTCGTTTACCAAAATTCCAAAGAAATAAGCTCTTCTCAGTCCATCATGAAAAACAACAGATAAGCAAGCCTGTTGAAGACTGAATTTTTCCTTTCTCCTTGTTATGACTCACCATATAAAAAGTTGCCCCACTATGGAAAATAAGACATGAACAAAAAGAAAACAGAGTGCATGTTCATCCAAAATGTCTTCAAGGGTGAAATTCAATAAACAAACAATCAGAAAGGGCCAGAAATTGATCAACACCGTGAAGCAAGATCCTCAGCAGTTGCAGAACCAACGCCAGAATTCGCTCCTGTGACCATGCAGTGCTTACCCTCTATTCGTATTTGGATATGTTCGAATTGAAATTTCTTGGAGTGTTCCCTCAAAATCAAAGAATATCTTAAAAAGAATGTGCAGGAATGTCAAGTGATCATTTCCTAGTATTTAAGCTTTGGTGAGCACACTATTGGCTTCTATGATCACTATTAAAAAAAAAAAAAAAAGCGCTCGAGAACTAGAGAAGGTACATGCCAATAAAAACACATAACTTAAACCCTAACTCATAAAGATCAAAGGTTAGTGAAAGATTAGTGATCATGCCAAAAAGTTTAAAGCAAGAAAATGTGCAAGTGTCTTACATAATTCTGAACTCCAAGCTCCCTCACATATCAGCACTAAGAAATCCGACCTTTTTATTCATTCTATCATGATATTCAATTGTCAATATTCAGAACCCATTTCTTAGTTTCAATTAATTATTTTATTAAGAAAACACCCATTTATTTCAGCAGAAGAAAAGATAAAATGAAGCATATTTTCACCTATATACAATCAGTTAAATTCCTCATGATGACAGGCTTCCAAAGTATACATTAAACATATCCATGCAAACACTATCGTTGCTGTAGAAAAACGCATAAAGTTTCAGTGTAAAAAAAAAAAAAAAGCATAAAGTTTTGAAGGATGGGTAACAAGTGAACTTACAAGAGGCCATTTCTGGTCAAATTCAAGTACCCACAAACTCGAAATGCAGATGCTCTCCATGTCTGTGAATACAATGCAATAAAATAACTAAAATCCCAAAGAGGTAGCAAAAAAAAAAAAAAAAAAGAGAGAAAGGGAAGTAGAAATTGAAATGAAAAAAATATAAGTGCATACCTTTGAGAGGGAACATTTTTTTTTTTTTTTAGAAAAGAAGGAACATGGTCAGTGCTCAAATTGATGAATTTCAATTTGTAATGTTGAATGAGATATCAATTTAAGGACTAAACTTATATGAATAATTTCAAGTAAACTTTGTAAAATTTCCTCTTAAATGTGATTTGATAAAAATTTTAATAAAAAATCTAAACCAATACATTAGTAGAGTTTAATATGAAAATCAATGATAATTAAAAATATTATTAAAAAATTATTTATAATTCAAATATATAACATAAAAATTAAAAAAATTAGTTTATAGTTTTTAAAAAAGTTATAGGTATTAAAGTTATGCTTAGAAGATGATGAATATGATAGTATGATAATCATTTTATATTATATTTGATCTGTATTTAATTGAAAAATGATAGGATTACAAAAAAAATTATCATTGTCTTGATATAGGATGCCTCAATCCTTTCAAAGTGAAAATGGATTATTTTTAATCTATGAAATTAAACTTACATGTGATATTTTGTTCTTAAAAATTACATCAATAATTTAAATTATATAAATTAAAAAAAAATAATTTTAATTAATAAATCAATTATTCTACTTAATTTTTACTACATCAAACATAAAATAAGATGATATTATTTAATATAATCTTATTTATAATATTATTTTATTGTACATATTATAATTTTATATTATTAAACTTGACTTACGATTATTTATACTATTTAAATATCTATAAAAATAAATTTAAAATAAATTTAAAATATTCATTAAATATAAATATAAAAAATATAATCTAAAAATAAGAAATATATTATCTGTCTTATATCCTTTCAATTAACATCTTAATGTTTTATTTTTATTTTTTATTTTATTTTATTTTTGGCATGAGAGTAAAAACTTACGTTAAAAAGGAGGGAGGGTTAGAATCGAATTTCAATCGTGTGTCTTATTAAAATTTATTTGATCGTTAAATCAAGAAGCTGAAATCAATCATTTTTATTTGTTTATTCTTAGAGTGTAGACCTGGCGAAGGGATAGGAGCCGTGTTAACGGGTACAGGAGAATTAACAAATTGGTTGCGTTTGTAGTCTAGTGTTGTGCCACATGGCGAAAGATATTGCCATCAGTTGCTAGTTTCGTGGGAGTTGATACTTACCGGTCTTGTCTCGAGGTTGACGCACAAACCCATCGCTCTTCTTTTTGGAAAATTCTATGCCATGACCCTGCCGTAACAGAGTTTGCAGCCGCCAACCAATGCATTCTTGGCCCAATGAAATGATGACTATTTTAGTTGATCAAAATAACTTAAATCCAACGTCACAAGGCAACACAGTTCTTTAATGCTTTCTAAACTATTTCAAAACACACACACAGTTGCTAACCTTGTTTCACTGATAATTTTGACACACTAAATCATGGGATTCAATAATTGTAACTCATTGCAACTTGGATTCATGAGTTATGTTTGTGTTAAGAGTTGCATTTTCTTTTTAATTTTTATGTATTATTAAAAGTCTTCAACTTCAAATGCATTCAATATAGACCGTGGCATTTCCTTTGCACAGATTTTGATCCCTGTAGATGTAAACAATATTCTGGCTGCATAAATCACCCATGCAGTTTTTACATGTGTTAACAGTTAATCTGGATTTGAGTGCGAGTAGCAGTAGAACTAATCATTTTAGAGAATTTGGATAAAAGAGTGAATCCAAAGCTATTCATGTTTGCCCTTAAAACATGATTGGTCATACAATCAAAATCTACAGTAATGTTGCTACTTATGTCAGAGTCTAAAACTCGATTCAACAAGGCCTTATGCTTTCGAATGGAGAGAAAATTTTAGGAACACCAAAACATTGCTTCTCAGCCTTGAGTCTCCTTTGCCTTGCACAATCATCATCTGACTTGAAAAACATTTTAGTCAATCCATCAATGTGGAGAAAAATTCAAACATTAGTAGATGGTCAAATCAATGAATTGTTGGGTTTGAAATGACAAACATAACAATATAAAAGCGATAAACACAACAATAAACCCACAATAATAAATAATAATTAACATTATAATGCAAAAAAAAAATACTTCAAAATTTACATGAAAAACCCTCTAATGTAGAAAAAAAAATCACGGACTACCTAAAAAATATTTACTATCAAATAATAGATATACAAAATTTTTCTTTAGTTAAAACTAGAGTTAATCAACAACTAAAAAGACAATTGGAGAAATATCACAAATAGATGACTCAACAAATACATCATGGATTTGTTCTTAGAGAGCTTCAAACCCGATCTCTATTATTCAGAATGTAGAACATTGAATCATGAACTTACTGATAAAATTTTAACTTAATCAGATCACAGATCGACTTTCGTTCAACCAACTCTCATTTCTCTCTCTTGTTTCTATTTTTCTTGACTTTTTTTCTTTCTTTTCGGTGTTACTTCCTTACTTTTTCATGCCTAAACACAACCCCTTCTTTTATTATTTAGGGCTTTATTTTAGGTTAAAAGTCAAAAGGCCTATGGCTTTTGATTGGTTTAAAGGAATGGGGTTGGACCCCATAATTTTAACAATTTTTTCCTCCAACTCATTAAGAGGAGATTCATTACCATAGCATTTCATTTAGAATTTACCTTGGCCAGATTAAAGGGATAAAGAAATAAGCAAGCAAGCAGTCAGATTAAACCAATTCCCAAGACTTACTTTGAACTGCTACCTCAACTGATCTCAAAAAAAAAAAAAAAAAACACCTTTTGAAACCTATGCATATAGAACCTCTTAAATCTTTTTACCTAAGATGGTATGATGCTTATGCATGGTGCGATTACCATAATGATAATCAAGGACACTCAATAGAGGATTGCCCTAAATTGAAATACAAAGTCAAAGATATTATTGAAACTGAATTATTAGACTTTAGGGTGAAAGAAGAGTTAGACGAAGAATTCGTGTGAATTGTTAGTAAGTATGAGCCAGAGAAAAAAATGTGTATGGTGAGGTATTGTAAGATTCAACACTAAAGGCCATTTGGAAATTCAAAGAAACGATTGACTCTTAGGTTAAAGGGGTGACATGTTGCTCAAGGGTAATTTGTAGTCTTATTTTTAGAGTATGAATTTTGATTTGATTTAGATATCTAAATGGATAAACTTTTGCGTGTTATATTACCTTATAGATTTGTGACTCGATTTTTCCCATTTACTTAGGCATGATTCTTGATTTTTAGGTTTTTTCAACAAAAATAAAAGGATTAATTGAGAATAAAACCTCACATAATTAATTTCCAAAAACCATAAAAAAAAAGGAAGAAAGTGCCTTAAAAAAAAGAAAAAAAAGGAAAAAGAATAGAGGAAAAGAAAGTTTTCTTTTGTAATAAAAGTGGTGAGAGTCTAAAAAAAATTGACAATTACTTTAGAAATAAACTCATCAAATGCCTTCACATATTTTCTAAATCACCTAAATGATTTCACCCATCAACCATGGCCCCTCAAGAGATATGAACTTAAATTTATGAACCTTGTCTTGCTAGATAATATTATGATATCAAATGTTATAATCTTTTCCTAAGCAATAAACAATAAGATAGCCAATTTCAAAACAGAAAAAAAAGGTTCCTAGAAAATAAGGTAAAACACGATATATTTTTTTAGAATTGGATGTGGTAATTTGATGTGTCAAAGCTATGTTATAGCTTTAAAAATTTTCAAAACCAAAGCCACCCATATCTTTTAAAATAAGTCTTACTCCAAAATAGTCATTGTTTAGTGTATGGGGGCATATTAACTAAAAGAAAGATCTCATTGCCCTTAAGTTAATTTGAGTTATGAGCAACCTATTTTTTTATGGAGTGACGTGAATTTCTTGACACCTTAAACGAGTATATTTCACATGATCCTTTTTTCTCACATTAACCTTTAGTAAAAGCGGTTTGTCAAAATAAGGTATCTTTTTTTAGTTGTGGTGAGAAGTATGCAAAGAAAAAAAAAAGAAAAAAACAAAATGAAATGAAATGAAAAGAAAAAAAAAAGAAAGAAAATTTTTTATTATGACATCATACATTTAAGCTATTTGGATCTAAAAATGAAAAAGAAAGAGATCTTAATAAACTTATGAAGATACCAATGAGAAAAAACTAGAAAGTTCAAAAAAAGTTAAAGACCAAAAAATCCAAAATAAAGGAAATTAAAAAAAAAACCTTTCTTTCAAACCTTCTTTAGAAAAAAAAATTACTCTTCAAATTTGATAATTGTGCTTGAGACAATAAATTATCATCTTTCATCATCCCTTCACAAATATAAAAATTTATCCTACACTACTGTTTTGAGCTTGATAAAGTTTTTCTAAATAAACCTTGTCCAAAGATAACTCTTTACACTAGGTGTAAAAAGGGATACATTTAAATGTTAAGAATGATAATGTTCAAAAAGGAACCTTATATGTTAAGGGTAAGTGCCCAATATCAAGTTTCAAAATTTTGAATCCATTTAAGAAAAAAAGGGAATGAAAAAGTAAAGGAAAGAAAAAAAGGAAGAAAATGAAAGAGAGAAAAAAAGAAAAAAAAAGAAAAGTAAAAGAAATGAATAAGTAGAAAGCATTGGAAAACGACAAGACAAATACCCCAAAGTGAATCTTTTAACTGAAAGATTGATTTTTTGTTTAAATAACCCTTAAAATAATTTTATTAAGCCTATCTATCCTTTTCTTTGATAACCCCAAACTTTGGCCTACTTACATAACAAGAAAAGTCTATATTGGATCAAGCATGGATATTTAAACATGAAGAGCTTCTCTTTGAGGAATGGTCATAAAAACCCTTAACTTTTTTATCCTTCTTTATTACTTAATTACTTGATTGGACCATTAATTCATTTTGGATAAGTTTGAATCCTTAATTGCATGGTGTAATAATAATAAAAAAGGATAAATATGGCTCTAAGGTGAAAACCTAGCAAAGAGGAGTCTAGAGCAAACCTTGACAACCTAAAGTCACTCTTGATACTAGGTGAGATAAGATGCTAACCTTATTTCCTTATCCCTAAATAACCTTTCAAAATTTTGAACCAATCACAACTAACCTTGGCATCTAACAAAAGGCCACATTTGGATACTAAATAAAATGTCGAACATTTTTTGTTTTCAAGGGAATCATGCTTTAAGAAAAATTCATGTTTCATCTATGAGCCTGCATTGAAAAAGTATACACTTTTTTTTATCCCTTTTAAGTGGTGAAATCCTTTTGAATGGACCAAAATCTCTATGTGCCAAACCATTCAATTCATTTGAAAAAAAATCATTTTTTTTTCATTTCTAATAAGGAATACCAATTTTCAAAAGACTCCCAAAGTCACATTTGTTTGGATTTGCATTAACTTTGATTATGAAATTTAATTATGTGGGGTAATTTTATTGACCATTTTGAAAATTTTTAAATAACCAATTACACATTTTTGTGTAAAATAAGAAAATCATGTTTAGTATAAAAAAATTTATTAAATTAAGAATTTTTAGATTAGTTTGGATTTAATAGAGAAAAATATTTTTCATTGAAGAATTAATGTTGTTGAAAAAAAGAGAAAAAAAGATTTTTTTAGAAAAACATGAAAGTTTGTCTTCTTGGTTGTGATCGAGTATGAAATGCATGTTGCATGTTGTATGTTGAAAATGGAAACAAAAAACAAAGAAAAAAGTGAGTTGAAAATAAAAAGAAAATAAAGAGAGCCTATTTGAAAAAAAAAATAGAGTAAAAATTGATAAAGAACAAAGATAGAAATAGGTAAAGGAATAAAAGAATGGTAAATTGAAATATTGTTGAAAATAAGTGGAAGACTTAATTTGATGGGTGACAAGAAATGAGTAGAGTTGAGAAAAAATTATTTGAAAAAGGGGTATGTGTGGTGTTTACATATTTTGACATACACTTATGCTACCATTTTAAATGTTAGGGTTTGCAACCACATTTAGGCATTCGTATCATGTATGAACATTGGCATTTGCATTCATAAGAAGTGTATGCATCGTGAAAAAGGGATTTGCTAGTTAAAAAATTGGTCCATATCTTTGTTAGGTACATTTGTGTCGTAGAAATGAAATTCGCATTTTGTATCATTGTATGATCATCTACATAGAAAGAACATTGGCGTCTGCATCATGAAAATGTTTTGTCATCACATAAATTTTTGCATTTGT